CAGCAGCAGCAGCAGCAGCAGCAGCAGCAGCAGCAGCAGCCGCAGCAGCAGCAGCAGCAGCAGCAGCAGCAGCAGCAGCAGCGGCCGGAGAGCCGTTTGGTGCCGTTTGCACTGAAGGTTTACCGCACTTCCGTTTTGTCTTTCAAAAACCGCAGCAAATATGTCGAGGGGGACTTCAGGTTCAACCACGCATACTCGCGGTAACCTGCTGCTGCTGCTGCTGCTGCTGCTGCTGCTGCTGCTGCTGCTGCTGCTGCTGCTGCTGCTGCTGCTGTGCTGCTGTTGGTTATGCTGCTGCTGCTGCTGCTGCTGCTGCTGCTGCTGCTGCTGCTGCTGCTGCTGTGCTGCTGTTGGTTATGCTGCTGCGGTGTGCAGGGCGAGGGGTCTGCTGCTGCTTGGTGTTCTGGGGAGGTTTGTGCCTCGTGTGTCTGCTGCGCTGCGTGCTCACTCTGCTGCTGCTGCTGCTGCTGCTGTGCTGCTGCTGCTGCTGCAGCAGCCGCAACCCGCGAAAAATGGTCGCCGTGTGGGCCATGAAGGAGCAGCGCAATTTGCTGCGCTTTGCTGCAGCAGGAATTCCCTGCCCGCTGCCAATTGCATGCAAAAGCAATGTGCTGCTGATGCAGTTCATCGGCACTGCCACCTACCGCAGCAGCAGCAGCAGCAGCAGCAGCAGCAGCAGCAGCAGCAGCAGCAGCAGCAGCGGTGTTGCTGTGGAGGGGGAAGGCGACAAGCGGAGCAGCCACGAGGCGGAGGGCGAGGCGGACCCACAAGCAGCAGCAGCAGCAGCAGCACCAACAGCAGCAGCAGCAGCAGCAGCAACAGCAGCAGCAGCAACAGCAGCAGCAGCAGCAGCAGATGGCGATGAAGATGAGGAAGATGATGAGGAAGAAGATGAGGAAGAAGATGAGGAAGAAGAAGATGAGGAGGAAGAAGACGAGGAGGAAGCAGCAGCAGCAGCAGCAGCAGCAGCAGCAGCAGCAGCAGCAGGGGGGCGTGAGCGGAAGCAGCAGGCCGCTGAGGTGTACAGACACCAGGAGGAGTTGTGGGGTGGCGGGGATTTTTCTTTTCCATTTGATGCTTCCAATTTATTTTATTTTGCTGCTCCTCGTTTGAAGGACTTGCCGGAAGTGTGTCGGGCGTTTGCTGCTGCTGCTGCGGAGCGCTGCTGCTGCTGCTGCAGCAGCAGCAGCAGCCACGAGGCCCTTTGCTGCTGCTGCTGGGGGGCCCCTGCTGCGCAAGTTGCTGCTGGCTGGCGGCTGCTGTACGTACAGTCCGTGCTGCTGCTGCGGCAGCTCTTCCAGCGCTGCAGGTCAGTGCACGGGGACTTCAGCGAGTACAACTTGCTGCTGCAGCAGCCGCAGCAGCAGCAGCAGCAGCAGCAGCAGCAGCAGCAGCGAATTGTTTTGCTGGACGTCAGCCAGGCAGTGGAAAGAGACCATCCCGAGGCCCTGGACTTTCTCAAGAGAGACTGCAGCAACACCACGGCTTTCTTCGCGAAGCGGCTCGACGCATGCAGCAGCAGCAGCAGCAGCAGCAGCAGCAGCAGCAGCAGCAGCAGTTGCTGCTGCAGCGGGGAGTGCAGGGAGTCGAGGAAGCAGTGGAGGGCCTTTCCCCCCTTCTTTGAAAAAAGAAATATTTTCTTTTCCAAATTTAAATTGCTGTCAGTTCGCGAACTTTTCGAATTTGTTGTCAAAGCAGAGCTGCCCCCAGAGCTCCACTTCCTGCAGCAGCAGCAGCAGCAGCAGCAGCAGCAGCAGCAGCAGCAGCAGCAGCAGCAGTTGACGGACGAAGAGCTGTGGGAGGCGATGGCGAGTTACTTAGCGGGACGTCCGCCCAAACAGCCGGAAAGAGCAGCAGCAGCAGCACCAAAAGCAGCAGCAGCAGAAGCAACAGCAGCGAAAGCAGAAGCAGCAGCAGCAGCAGCAGCAGCAGCAGCAGCAGAAGGGGACAGCCGCAGCTGGGCCAACGACGGCTACAGCACCGACAGCAATTGGGGCTACTATGGCGGCAGCCGCAGCAGCAGCCGCAGCCGCAGCAGCAGCCGCAGCAGCAGCCGCAGCAGCAGCAGCAGCCGCAGCAGCAGCAGCAGCCGCAGCAGCAGCAGCAGCAGCAGCAGCAAGGCTGCAGCGGAGCAGCAAGTGAGCGACGCTGTGTTTCTGCAAAGCTGGATTCCCTCAACTCTCCACGAAGTCTCCGACTTTGCTGCTCTCGAGAGATTTGCTGCGCAGCAGCAGCTGCTGCCAGCAGATGCTGCGCTGCTGGCGCTGCACGACTTGGTCAGCAGCAAGCCGCGCCCGCGGGCCCGCAGCAGCAGCAGCAGCAGCAGCAGCAGCAGCAGCGGCAGCAGCAGCAGCAGCGAGAGCAGCAGCAGCAGCGGGGAGGAGCAGGAAGGGGGCGGCACGCGGCAGCAGCGGCGCAAAGCAGCAGCAGCAGCAGCAGCAGCAGCAGCAGCAGCAGCAGAGAAGTTTAATGGAATTATTCCGGAAGGACTTTCGAGAAAAGAATGGAAAAAGAAAGTAAAAGAAATGAACAGAGAAAGAAGAAAATTCAAAATCCCAAAAGCTCTTAAAAAGAAGCTTTCCAAAAAGAAAAAATAAACTAAAACTGTTGCTGCTGCTACTCTTGCGACTACTGCTGCTACTGCTGCTGCTGCTACTCTTGCTACTACTACTGCTGCTACTGCTGCGGCTGCTCTTGTTGCTGCTACGGTTGCTGCTGCTGTTGCTACTGTTGCTACTGCTGCTGCTGCTACTGTTGCTACTGCTGCTCCCACTGCTGCTGCTACTGCTGCTAATCCTGTTGCTGCTGCTGCTGCTGCTGCTGCTGCTGCAGGGAGCAAGTGGGGGTCTGTGTGGGGTGTCTGTACACCTGAAAGGACTCTCGCTGCAGTCAGTTTTTGCGTTTGGGGGAAAAGTTAAATGGAAATAAAAGAAGTAATAAACGAATAATAATAAATAAATAAATAAATAAATAAATAAATAAATAAATAAATAAATAAATAATAAATGAAATTTATAAAATCAAAAAAGACAAAGTCCCGGACTCTACACAAACCCGAGACTGCGCTCCGCGGCCTGCTGCTGCTGGCAGGCCCTAAGGCTTCACAAATGGGTCTACGAGCTGCAGCAGCAGCAGCAGCAGCAGCAACAGCAGCAGCTAGTGCTACTGCTGCTGCTGCTGATGCCGCTGCAGCTGCTGCTGCTGCAGCAGCAGCTGCTGCTGACGCCGCTGCAGCTGCTGCTGCTGCTGCCGCAGCTGCTGCTGCTGCAGCAGCAGCTGCTGCTGCTGCAACTGCTGCTGCTGCTGCTGCTGCTGCGTGGAAATAAGATAAAACTCGGGGGCGCTGGCTGCGTCTGCGGAAGTTGAGGGCCAAAAAATCCGCCGAAGTTTTGAAGAGTTAAAAGCCAGGAAGTTTGGAAGATTTGGAGGTCTTTTGAATTCCCCAGCAGCAGCAGCAGCAGCAGCAGCAGCAGCAGCAGCAGCAAGCTGAGGGGGTGGCGAGGCCCTTGAAAAGAAAAGAAGCAGCACTTCAAAAGTGGCTTTGAAGCTGCGAAGAAGCAAATCCGCAGCAGCAGCAGCAGCAGCAGCAGCAGCGCTGCGGTGTACGTACACCGCAGCGCCAGTTCCAGTTGACGGAACCTGAATTTCGGAAATTGAAGTTCAAATGTTTTCTTTTTGATTTAAATTGTTTTCTTTTGCATTTAAATTGAATAAAAGTCCTTTTTAATTGTCTTTTGCTTCTTCTTTTCCGCAAATGCTGCTGCTTTCCACTCCCACGCATGCAGAAACCTGCACAGTTCAGCTTTCCAGTTTGCTGCAGCAGCAGCTTTCCAGTTTGCTGCAGCAGCAGCTTTCCAGTTGCTGCAGCAGCAGCTTTCCAGTTTGCTGCAGCAGCAGCTCTCCAGTTTGCTGCAGCAGCAGCTTTCCCGGAGCTTCTCCTCAGCAGCACATTCACCCTTTGCTGCTGCTGCTCCTGCTGCTGCAGCCTCTGCTTTCTCCGAGCCTCCCCAGCAGCAAACCCACCCTTTGCTGCTGCTGCTGCTGCTGCTGCTGCTGCTGCTGCAGCTCTCCCCCGGCTGTTCTCGCCCGTCTAACTAATCTTTTAATTCCATTTAATTCAAATCTAAAGAATTCCATTTAATTCAAATTTAAGAATTCCATTTAATTCAAATCTAAAGAATTCCATTTCATGCAAGCACTTTTCCATTTTCCTTTTCTTACTTCTGTCTAACTTCAGCAGCAGCAGCAGCAGCAGCAGCAGCAGCAGCAGCAGCAGCAGCTTCTCTCAGAGAAGCTGCTGCAGGTCCTGCAGCAACTTCACCTTCTTTCTGCTGCTGGAGATCCCCTCAGCTGCCGCGGGGGGAATCGCTCTGCTGCTGTTGCTGCTGCTGCACCTGCTGCTGTTGCTGCTGCTGCTGCTGCAGAAGCTGCTGCTGCTGCTCCGACTGCTGCTGCTCCTGCAACTCCTGCATCTGCTGCAGCTCCTGCAGCAGCAGCCTGTCCTGCATCTCCTGCTGCATCTGCTGCTGCTGCATCTCCTGCAGCAGCTGCTGCTGCTGCTTCAACTCCTGCAGCAGCAGCTGGTCCCGCTGCAGCTGCTCCTGCATGCGCTGCAGGTCTTCTAAAAGCTTCTGTTCTTGCGACAGCTGCTGCGCCCGCTGCTGCTCCAGTTCCTGCAGCTGCTGCTGCTGCAGCTGCAGCTGCCGCAGCTGTTGCTGTTGCTGCTGCTGCTGTCGCAGCAGCTGCTGCTCCGACTGCTGCTGCTGCTGCTGCTGCAGCTGCTGCAGCCGCTGCAATTGCTGCTGCTGCAACTGCTGCTGCTGAAGCTGCTGGTACTGCTGTTGCTGCTGGTGCAATTGCTGCTGGTGCAATTGCTGCTGCTGCCATTGCTGATGCTGCAATTGTTGCTGCTGCAATTGCTGCTGCTGCTGCAATTGCTGCAGTTGCTGCTGTTGCTGCTGCTGCACTTGCTGCTGTTGCTGGTGCAATTGCTGCTGCTGCAATTGCGGCTGCAGCAGCTGCTGCTGCAGTTGCTGCTGCAATGGCTGTTGTGGCTGCTTGAATTCAAAGTGCTCCTGTTGCTGCGGCTGCAGTTGCTGCTGCGGCTGTTGCTGCTGCGGGGTTTGCTGCGGCTGCTGCAGCAGGATGACCGGCTGCTGCTGAATCTGTTGGTGGAGCTGCTGCTGCTGGAGTTGCAGCTGCTGCTGCTGCTGGAGTGGCAGCTGCTGCTGCTGCTGGCGGCGCTGCTGCCGCCGCTGCTGCTGCTGCTGCCGCCGCTGCTGCTGCTGCTGCTGCTGCAGCAGCAGCTCCTCCTGAGTATAGAAGACCTCGTCCTCGCTCCAGTTCAAAGAGCTGCTGTCAGCAGCAAGAGTGAAGCTGCTGTAGTCCTTTTTGGTGTTCTTCCAGAGCTGCTGCTGCTGCTGCTGCACAGCAAATTGTCTTCTTATTTTTTCATGATTAATAACATCTTTTGGAACTCCTGCTGCTATCCATTTGGAAATAGGATCATTAAAAGACACCAAGTTGCTGCTGCTGCTGCTGCTGCTTGCTGCTTCCTCCTCCAGCTCCCCGCTGCTGCTCGAGGACAGCGCGTCCGAGGACTCTTCCGTCACTGGCGTCGGCTGCCGCGGCCCAGCAGCAGCAGCAGCAGCAGCAGCAGCAGCAGCAGCAGCAGCAGCAGCAGCGCCGGGGGTCTCCGCCTTCGCCGCAAACGGACTCCCCGTCGAAGGCAGCATTGAAGTCAAGCTGCCCCAGAAAAAAGAGAAAGCCTGGCCTGCTGCTCCCCCGGACGCGCTGCTGCCAGCAGCAGCAGCAGGAGCAGCAGCAGCAGCAGCAGCAGGCGCTGCAGCAGCAGCAGGTGCTGCAGCAGGCGTCTGCGGCGGCGGCAGCGAAGTGCTCGAGTGGGCCCTCCGCCGCTTCCTCTGCCCCGCGCCCGTTCGCGCTGCAGGGCCCGTAGCAGCAGCAGCAGCAGGAGCTGCAGCAGCAGCAGCAGGAGCTGCAGCAGCAGCAGCAGCAGCACGAGGAGGCCCGATTGTCACGTTCGGAGGAGACCTCCACACAGGGTCCGTGAAAGCAGCAGCAGCAACACTGCCGAGAGCTAAAGGCAAAGTGACTCCCGGAGCAGCAAGTGCTGCGGGGCCCGGGGCCGCAGCTGCAGCAGCAGCAGCAGGTGCAGCAGCAGGTGCAGCAGCAGGTGCAGCAGCAGCAGCAGCAGGAAAGTAGAAAAAGCTGCGAGGGGCACTCGAAGCAGCACCGGGAAATGGGGTAACGTAAAGGGCGGAACGCACAGGAGGCCCAGCAGCAGAAAAAGCAGTTGGAAAGAAACGAAGAGAGCTGCGAGCAGCAGGAGCAGCAGCAGCAGCAGCAGCAGCAGCAGCAGCAGGGGGAGGGGGCCCTCCGGCAGCAGCAGGCGCTGCGGCAGCAGCAGGCGCTGCGGCAGCAGCAGGCGCTGCAGCAGCAGCCGGAGCTGCAGCAGCAGGCGCTGCTCCTGCTGCTGCTGCTGCTGCTGCTGGAGCAGCAGCAGCAGCAGCAGCAGCAGGAGCTGCAGCAGCAAATGGAGACCCCGCGAAAACAGGCAGCAGTTTCAACTCACTCTTCCAGCAAGGGCGCTCTTGGTTCCCGTTGCTGCGGCCGTAAGTCAGTGACTGGACGGAAAAGGAGGGCGCTGCAGCAGCAGTAGCAGCAGCAGCAGCGACAGCAGCAGCAGCAGCAGCAGCAGCAGCAGGAGGCGGGCCTGCTGCTGCTGCTGCTGACGAAGGCTCTCCCTCCCCCATCGCACCGCCTGTGTACGGGTCAATCGTCAGCAGCACTCTGTCTTCCGCCGGGCTGCTGCTGTTGCTGCGGATGTCTGCTGCTGCAGCAGCAGCAGGCGCTGCTGCTGCTGCTGCGTCTGCTGCAGCCGCCCCATTTGCTGCTGCTAGAGGCAGCGTGACCAGTGGTCCACTGCTCTTCAAGAAGTTGAGTTGGTACTGAGGCTGCAGCAAAGGGAAGAGGGGGACTGCGGGGCCTTGCGCTGCGCCTGCTGCTGGGTGCTGCGCAGCAGCAGCAGCAGCAGCAGGCGCAGCAGCAGCAGCAGCAGCAGCAGCAGCAGCATCCGGAGACCCTTCAGTCCCGCTGAAGAAGTCCTCATCGGAGTCGCTGGAGAAACTCATGAAGTCCTCGTCGGACCAGTCGGAGCTGCCGCTGCTGCTGCTGCAGTGCAGCAGCGCGTCGGACTCCCTGCCCTGCTGCTGCTGCTGCTGCTGCTGCTGCTGCTGCTGCTCCCTGTCCGCGAGGCTGCGGGCCCGGCCCTGGAAGCGCTGCGCTGCTGCTGCTTGTCTGAAGCAAGACAGCAGCAGGAAGGCCACTGCTGCAGCAAGGGGGGGCAGCAGCAGCAGCAGGGCCCCCCTGGGGAGGGCCCCCGGGGCCCTTCGCCGGCGCTGCAGCGGCACATAGTCCCGGCTGCCAGCAGCAGCAGCAGCAGCAGCAGCAGCAGCAGCTTGGGGCTCGTCGGGGAGAGGAATCTTGGAAGTAAACAGGGTCATTGCTGCTGCTGCTGCTGCTAGTTATGCTGTGGTTGCTGCGCTGCTGCTGGGCGCCGCTCCATTGAGGGCTGGCGGCAGGGCCTCGCAGCAGTTGCTGCTGCAGGAAGAGGCAATAAAAGCTGCTGCAGCAGCAGCAGCAGCAGCAGCAGGAAGGAATGCGTCGGCAGGGGCCCGGGTTGCGCGCAGCTGCTGCTCAGGCGCTCCTGCTGCAGCAAAGTAGATCCTGCGCCGCCCGCCTGCTGCAGCGAGCAGCAGCAGCAGCAGCAGCTCTGGAAGCAAGGGAGGAAGCAAGAGTTTGGCTAAGGATTTGCAAATAAAATACAGAAAAAAGAAGCTGCATGCAGGGGGAAAAGGCACGGAAATGCAGCAGCAGGAGCCCGCAGTGCTGCCGCTGCTGCTGCTGCTCCAGTGGGTAGTCTCAGCTGCTGCTGTTGCAGAATAGATCCCGGCACTTCTGCTGCACCCCACTTGAAACGCCCCTAAAAAACAAATCTATTTGATTTTAAACGGAGAAAAAAGCCGGATCTTGTCTTCAACTTGTCTGCGTGGCAGCTTTCTGTTGCTGCTGCTGGGTTCTGCTGCAGCCGCAGCTCCGGGGGCTCGCTGCTCGCAGCAGCAGCAGCAGCAGCAGCAGCAGCGCGACCTGCGGCGCAGCCGGCCTCCCGCGGCCAAATTGCGGCTCGCAGCAGCAGCCTTGAAGAGTTATTCTGCGGAATCCTGCAGCTGCTGCTGCAGGCCGTGGCCGTAGTGTGCAGCAGCAGCAGCAGCAGCAGCAGCGGCACAGCGCGTGAACACTAGTGGCAGCAGCAGCGATTGCCGCAGCAACTGCTGCTGCAGCAACTGCAGCTAGAACCGCAGCAGCAGCGCAGCAAATTTTATCCCTTTTCTTCCAAACTTTGCATTTCTTGCTGCCACTGAAATCCTGAGAAACAGGCAATGAATGGGGGGCCCCAGATCTGCAGCAGCAGCAGCAGTGCTGCTGCTGCTGCTCCCCTTCCAAGACCCACGGCGGCTCCGCGCGCCTCCTGCTGCTCCTCCCGCCGCCCTTCTTCCATTTTTCTGCTGCATTTGCGTTTTAAAACTCCTTTTTAATTCATTTCTCCGCAGAAATCGCAGCAAAGCAGTGGCGCTGCGGCTTGCTGCGCTGCAGCAGCAGCGCCGCCGCCCGCCCGCCCAGCAGCCGCGCCCCGCAGCTTCCGCCGAATTGCTGCGAAATCTCCGACTTCTTTCCTTCTTTTTGGTCCAATTGAATCTTAAACTGCAGCGCGAACACTGAAGACCACTGCAGCAGCAAAGAGGCGGCTTCTGGGGGCCCCGAACGCCCAAATCGGGCCTTCTCGAGCTGCTGCTGCTGCCCGCAGCGCTGCTGCAGCAGCTGAACTCCCCAGCAGCAGCCCCCGCCCGCCCCCACTGGACCACTGCTGCAGCCTGAACCCCACAAGTGACCACTGGTCTAACCACTGCAGCAGCAGCAGCAGCAGCAGCGAGCACCTCCAAACCCCGCCAAGCCGGCGGTCCGCTCCTGCTACTGCTACTGCTGCTGCTGTTCTACTGCTGCTGCTGGACTTCTACTGCTGCTGCTGCTGCTGCTGCTGCTGTTCTGCTGCTGCTGCTCCCTTCCCCGGCCTGCAGCGGGGGCCCCTGTGGGGCCCCACAGGGGCCCCACAGGGGCCCTTGTGGGGCCCCGCACGCTTCGCAGCTGCTGCAGCGGCTGGCAGCCGACAGCTGCTGCAGCAGGGCTTCGCTAGCTAGCTAGCTAGCTAGCTAGCTGGGTTTGCACTTTGCTAGTTTCGCTTGCTGCTGCTGCTGCTGCTGCTGCTGTGTTGCTGCTGCTGCGTGGCAGCTAGGGACGTGTCTTCTGTTCGCTGTAAAGCCAAATTGCTGCTGCTGCCGCAGCAGATTCTGCTGCTGCAGCAGCAGAATCGAGTAGAGCACTATCTCTGAGTCTGGAATGAATCTGTTCTGCTGCAGCAGCGCAGCAACTGCTGCTGCAGCAGCGCAGCAACTGCTGCTGCAGCAGCGCAGCAACTGCTGCAGCAGCAGCAGCAGCAGCAGCAATTCGCGTCGCTTTTTCGCGAAAAAGCCCCCAACCAACCGAACCCAATGAATGAAACATAATTAATTAAATACAATTAATTAATTTTATTTATTTATTTATTTAATTAATTATTTATTTATTTATTTATTTATTTATTTATTTATTTATTTATTTGCTGCTCCTGCTGCCTCCACTTGTTGAAAGTGTCCATCTTGCCATTAACGCCCACTGGGGCCGGTCCAGAGTTCGTTTTCTATTTTTGTGGTCCAATTAAAAAAACCAATTAATTAAACAAACACAATTAATTAATTAATTACATTTAATTAATTAATTAATTAAATGTAATTAATTAATTAATTAATTACATTTAATTAATTAATTAATTAATTAATTACATTTAATTAATTAATTAATTAATTACATTTAATTAATTAATTAATTGATTAATTAATTAATTAATTAATTAATTAATTAATTAATTAATTAATTACATTCATTTAATTAATTATTTAATTGCTCCTCTTGCTGCTTCCACTTTCCCGTTGACCGAAGTGGCCCAGCTGCTGCTTTCGGCTTCAGACTTCTGCTGGACACCGCGGGGCGCTGCTGCTGCTTCTGCTGCTGCTGCTGTGCTGCTGCTGCTGCTGTGCTGCTGCTGCTGCTGCTGCTGTGCTGCTGCTGCTGCTGCTGCAGCAGCAGCCGCAGCAGTCTGCTGCTGCTGCTGCAGCAGCAGCCGCAGCAGTCTGCTGCTGCTGCAGTAGCCGCAGCAGTCTGCTGCTGCTGCTGCAGTAGCCGCAGCAGTCTGCTGCTGCTGCCGTGCTGCTGCTGCTGCTGCTGCTGTGCTGCTGCTGCTGCTTGTTGGGCCCCAGGAGGCGAGAGACTGTCCCTGTGTTCCTTTTGTACTTGTGAATTAAATAAACTTTCCTCTTTCGTTATTTTGAATTAAATAAACTTTCCTTTTTTTCTTCTGAATTAAATAAACTTTCCTTTTGTTATTTTGAATTAAAAAACTTTCCTCTTTTGTACTTGCGAATTAAATGGACTGTCTTGGGATGTTCTGGGGAACTAAAGGGGCCAACTGGGGCTTCCTCGGGGCACATCTATAGATATATTTATATATATATATAGATATATATATATATATATTATGATACTTCTATATATATATATATATATATATATATATATATT